CAAAAGCCTCCCTCAAGGATTGACCTGTTTAGCGGCCTGCATCATGTCCAACAATATTGACAAACTTAATATACCGCTTATTGCGCAAGTGCATTCTCACTACTAGTGCTACGGTCTACCTTAATATAAAGCAGTTTCTCCGTTCTGAATCTCAAGCAAAAAACAACTTCAATTGTAAAAGCTACGTCGACATTGATGATTTTGCAATCTCAATGATGCTAGGTTAGAACAGCATCCTGCCAGTTGACATGTTTTGCCTTACTATTGTAGTATAGAGCATGAGGAATTACGTACTTGAGTTATACAAGTTTGTGTTGCTGATTGACGACCTGAAATCACATCGACTGAACATTGAGGTTCTTGTGTGCTGGGCCATCTGTTGAAGGGAATCAAACACTTTGAGCCACTCTAAAACTCACGAGGGGGCTCCATCGTTGAATTTAAGCGGCTTAAAGCGTTTTCCCTGGACGGCCTGGAGTCAAAGTTCTATGCCATGGACGGTTTTGGGGCGGAGGACACCATTCGGTGTGGCCCAAAGGAAAGTCCTCCAAGGGCTACCAGACAAATAGTCAAATCATATTCGCCTTTTTGAATCCTCGCTTAACCCCCCCGCCCACCCATGTCGGCTGGCCCAAAATCCTGTCCGGCGGGCCTTGAAATTTTCGGGGTTCGTCGGCGTCCAGCTCCATGGGTCCATTTTTGTCGAAAATGTGCTGTTGCAAAAATCACGAAAAATTGCTTTTTTGTCCTGAAAAGCATGACCTCCTGGTGGCCACTCCCACAGCCCAGCGTGCCAAGGTCAGGTTTGTCTAACGTGTCTGAGACTGGCCTCAGGCCAACGATCTCAAGCTATGCCAGCTACTACGTGCCCCAGCCCCTCAGTCCGGCTGCCCAAGCAACTCAGCCCAGGCTGACCAGGCCTTGACCTCCTGCTCGCGTCTGCCAAGTCATCCAGCAGGCCCAGCCCCTTCGGCGCAGTCTGAGACTGGTCTCAAAGTATGCCAGCCTGAGACTAGCCTCAGGCCCAGCCCAGCCCGAGCCGCCAGCAGCGTAGTCCGGCTGCCCGGCAGCCAGCAACCCACCCATGGCTTCGCAGCCTTGTGGCTGAGACTAGCTTCAGGCCCAGCCCAAAAGCCTGCCCAGCCCAGGCCCCGGCGCATCTCAGGGCATGCCAACGACCAGTCTCACGTGTCTGAGACTGGTCTCGCAGCCCAGGCTGACCAGGCCCCTTCGGCGCAGTCTGAGACTGGTCTCAAGGTATGTCAGCCTGAGACTAGCCTCAGGCCCAGTCCCTCAGCCCGCCTGCTGGCGTGTCTTACGCTCAGCCCAGCCCGCCCAGCCGAAGTTTCAGGCGCAATTAACAGCGTAGTCCGGCTGCCCAGCAGCCAGCAACCCATGCAGCCTTGTGGCTGAGACTAGCTTCAGGCCCAGCCCAACCAGCAACCCACCTAAGCCAACCCCACCCAAGCCCACCCTGTTTGAGACTCGCAGGCCTCAGCCTATCTAGCGCCAAGACTGGGCCTCACCAGCCTGGGCTCAACTAGCGTCTAGCCCAGCCCAGTCCGCCTGCTGGCCAGGCCTGTCTGACGTGTCTGAAACTGGCCTCAGGCCCAGCCCAGCCATAGCCCAGCCCCCTCAGTGCGGCTGCCCAGCCCGCCGTAAACTAGCTTCAGGCCCAGCTCAACCAACAACCCACGCAAGCAAGGTCCAGCCAAGCTGCCCGAGACTAGCTTCAGCGCAGGCTTATCTGATGTGTCTGAGACTAGCCTGTGGCCCAGCCCAACCAGGCAAGGCCGGCTTGTCTGACTTGTCTGGAGCCAGCTTCAGGTATTCGGACCTTCCCAACACTGGATTTCGGTGTTCCTGACCCTTCCCTCAAACTAGGCTGGGCCGAGGCGGGCAACGCGAAGCGTTTACAATTACAACACATACTTAGACATAAATAAATATATATATATACAGAACAATCCGCGCGCTGCTTCGCGCACTCCACTCGCACAAGCCAGTGCGGCGGGAAGGGGTGGCAGGGCAGTCCACCAAGCACCACGACTGCAGCGGCTCACTCCACAAGGCCTGCAGGGAAAGCGCTCCGCATCGCCTGCGCAGCCCCGCCTCAACGTGGCCATCAATGACAACGCTGTCAGGCTCGCCCTTGGACGCCTGCGCCTGCTGGCGTCGGGTCTGTGGCGTGTACACAATGTAGTGCGCACCAAAATCTGCACTCAACTCCTCCACGGAAAGACAGCCGCAAAGCAGGCAGTTTGTCGCGGCAGGCAGCCATACGAGACAGAAGCCGGCATTTAAACCACGCATCCTCCAGTCGAAGCTTCAGCCTGTTGAAAAAATCCTGCCGCGCCACCCTCCGCGGCACGCAGAGTCTGCGGCTACACTGCTACGTGTCACTCCGAAGACTTTAGAAGTCATAATAACGCGAGGAAAGCCTGGCGAAGCGCTGTGGGTTCACTACCACTCCCGCGCCGCACGTCTCCCCTACCAAAAGTTGGCTCACAGGTACGCGCCCTTTCGGGCACACCCGTTTCGTCGACACCGACGAGGCGTGCGGGCGGCCAAGCGCAAGCCATCCACATCCAACACGGTTGCCTTTCTGCGGTTGGCGTGGGCCAGGCGGTGGGGCAGGTTGAAAGCGGTTATGTCAAGCCCCAAGAGGTCGTAGCTCTGCGACAAGCAGCGGCCAACACAGTCACACCGGAGTCCTGGATGGAGCAAGTTGGCGACATCGGCTTTGCGCAACGCGTCCTCGAAATGGCACATGGACATGTCGGAGTCTTGGCCGGCGGCAGCACCCTGCAGTACCCTGCGCAACTCTGAGTCTCGGCCTGCAGCACCCTTGCAAAAGCACCCTGCGTGACTCTGAGTCTCGGGCCCCTGCGCAACTCTGTCGGCCTGCTAGCAGCATTGGGTCAAATTTGCTCGGCCTGGCAGGCGCTCCGCCAAGCAGCTCACCTGGGCCTTGAGCACGAAGAAAAAATGGACTCCAGGCCCGAATTGCAGAACTGCACCAGCAGACCGAAACTTCACCTCGAGGCATGTGCGCCCAAGAGTACCATGATTGGCTTCGGGGCCGCGGGTAGCCTCTATCACCATCCTCGAGGCTCCTCAAACGGGCACTTATCCTTGGTCCAAGACAGGGACTTTCACAGGAGGTACTTCAACACTTTTTCGTATCGCTCTCCTCCTAGTTCGTTTCTTTCCTCCCTCCCCTTCTGGCCAAACCCCTTTCCCGAGTTCTGTCTCAATCGGCTCTCTTCTTAGGCCTGCCGAGTTGCATCAAGAGCTTCATGCCCCGCAACCCGTCCGGCCAATCTACGAGCAAACACCACTGCTCCAAGCTCCAGGTCAAGATGTCCATCGGCCCAAACCTCCCCTCAATCCCAGATCCAGGCCAATAGGCAGTTGCAAGACAGCCCCGTGGTGAAAGCCAGCACCGCACAAAAGCCTTCTCATGTTCTGCTTTTCCATGGTCAGGTCCTGTTCTCCGGTCTGCTTCCCCTCCCTCCCACAGCCTCCATCTCTCTCAAGAACGCCCTCCATCTCCACGACGTTCATCAACCAGTCCTCCAACCCTCCAACCAACTGTCCAAACTCCACCTCCGTGGATCAACAGCTCGTCAGCCAACTCTCCCCCACAGTCATATCCAAATACGTACTCTTGCCACTCACCAGTAGCAGGGCCTCACTCTTGGCGCCATTTAAAAACAGCAAACTCGCGCTTCTCCGACTTCGCAATTCGAACATTCTTCCCAAACCACTTGGGGCCGCCTATCGGCCCAGCCTCGAAAGAGGCTGACGGGCTCTGCTCCTGCTTGAAGATCTTGTCCAGCACCGTGTCCTCCACTCCTCTCGCGCCCTCTTCCTCCCTGAGCTTCTCGGTCTCGTTGAAGGGGAACGCTCTGATCTCCGCTTATAGCCCTTGGCCCGGCTGCGGGTTCTTGCAACCTTCTTATCTTTCTCTTTGTTCCGGCTCCTCGGACAACCATGTCGATGTTGATCGCATCTGGTCCTCCCCGAGTGAGGTCCCTGATGCGGAGCAGCAACTGCTTCTCATCCTCAATACCAAGGGGGAAAGAGTGGGTCTAGGAGCGGCACAGTCGACAAAAGTGCCCATATGCCACGCCCCTCTTCCCTTAGCGGGTTCTGCAAAGGCCAGGGGCTCGCTCATTCAAGAGCGGTCCACCCCTCGCTGAAAGCCAAAGACTGTGGCATTGGCGGTGGTGCTGATTTCGTTCATAGAACTGGGGCCATACATCCATGTTATGGGTCGATACTAGCAAGCCGAATCCCTCGAGGGCAACAGCCCCACCTGCATCCAGCTCAAAGAGAAGGCTGTTGAAGGATGCCACTAGCCAGCTGGCTGTCTGCCTTCGAGACTTAATCTGGAGTTAGATGAATTCATGCTGAATGCTTGGACTACTGGCCAAAGTCTGCCTCCGCTCTGAGACTGATGCTCAACACAGCAGCCAAGCCCGAGAGGAAGAGCTAGCAACTTGACCAAAGGAATGAAGAATCGCCTGCGAAGAGGCTGACACGTCGCGTCGAGTGTCAATGGCATTCATGTCACATGTCGATTTGCTGCCAAGCCACCAGCTCGTCCACACATGCCTTTCACGGCATTCATTCTTGACATGGATAAAGCAGCTGCCGGTCATTCAAATCCTGCAGTTCCTGCCTTCGTGCGCTTTGGCACAGTCGTCGGCCCTCTCTTTGGCAGCTGCTCATGGATGCGCATCATATTTGGACTTGAAAGAGATTGCTCCATGTCAATGACTTGGCCACTGTTGATGGCCAGCGCAGCTCGAAGAAAGTCTGAAGTCCGGTGCGCTGCTCGCTGTCAAGCTTTCATCTTTGCCAACGAATGATCAGCTTCTGATATTATGTTGCTTGTGTCGCTTGGCTCAAAGGGCGAAACTGCGCTTCTCTTTTGCAACAAGCAAGAGCAGTTGACTCGATAAGCTGACGCAGGCCGCAGAGCTCAAACTGGCCTGAAACTTCTCCGCTGTCTTGATCAGCCTTGGCAACGCCACCAATCTAGCTGACACAAGTCCAAATCTTTTAACCTGTACATTCTTAGGGCAGTGAGCTGCAGGAGGGGATAATAAGGGGGGAAGCAACTGTAGCGATCATCCCAATCTGTCCTCTGCGTGCTCTGATCGCATGTCACTATCCTGCTCTGATCTGAATGACTTGGATAGGCAGACATGAAACAAAAGGCAGTCGATTGAACAGCTCTCATGAGGGCCCACTCTCTCAGGGCCACGACGGCCCCGTCGCCGAAGCCTCCTGAGGCAAGGGAACAAAAGGCAAGTCACTCAAGTCACCATTGAGATCGTTGAGAAGAACTAGGCTTTATGGCAACTTTATGGGGCTTGGGCTCTGGACCAAAAGCCTCTCAGATGGCCTCGCTGTTCGACAGGATTTCATGATGTCCCAGAGGCCTGGCCAAAGCAAACCTGCCCACACTCCCCCGCTTCTATTTAGTATTAATGGTCACGCTTCACGCTTCTTGGTGTAATCCTTGAACATGAGCAGCATTTGCCACAAACGACAACTGTCGACTATGAGTGCGCTCGCTGCTACAACATGGAATTCGTAACAACATTGCATAGCAAATAGACTGCTTGATGATTCTACGCAGCATGAACAAGCAATCCAGTTGCCTGCTGCTCCAGTGACGACAGGTAGGTGCACCCACTCGGACTTCGCCAATGCGCCTCGCCATGGTGCAGTTTTTTGGACAGAGGATCGCACTTGTCCGACCTGCCCAAGTGCGGCTCCGGACATCTGGGCAATGGCCCCAACGGCACCTGCCAGCTTAAACTCCACGGCCGTGCAGTCCAAAACTTCCAAACTCCACGGCTTCGGTGGCCTCAACGGGCTCGTCAGCCCGCAGCTCTTCCGCTGGCACCTCCAAAAGAAAGCATGCAGCTGGGAGCCGCAAGCCGCATGGCAAATCGCCAGGGCAGCTCAAAAGAAATCACAGCAATCCTCCAAGGGCCAACTGCGAATTGAACAACAGCCAAGTGGCTCCTTGGTCAGTTTTCTGGGGCGCAGGCATCTCGCAAGCTAGGATGCGACCTTGGACAGAAGTGTGAAGCCCTAAGGCGGCCTACGGCTTCAAGTCTCTGACTGTGAGCACAGAATTCGAATCTCCGGGGCGGCTTTCTCCGCACCTCAAGCAGTGAGACTCACTAAGCTGACTGACACGCAAATACAAGCTCCGCACAGCAGGCAAGCTCCACGCGGCGAGCAAGTTCTTGTCGCACTTGCCTGCGACAAGTGAGAAAGTACGACAATGTACAGTGTCACAAAATCACTCTTCGATTCTGGGTGTTTTCTTCCTTATGCTATCATCATCTCTGCATGTTGCAAGATCATTTCAGCCTAGGACCAAACCCTGCAAAGGCGCCTGCTCCGCCAATAGCTTTGCAGCTGCAAGGCAGCATCCTGCGCACGTGCATTCCAAGTGGTATGTTGACATCGGCCAAGAGGCGTGGTATGCATGAGCACCCCGAAAGCGAGGATGAGTCATGGTGGTCAAGTCGACCGCACAGCTTCATCCAAAAAGTGGCTTACAATGTTGGTGCAAAGACATGGTTTCACATTTCCTGATTCAGCGAGAGCAACGTTTACACAGTGGCCTCCTGGATGAGAGCTCTGGCACGAGCGGCTGCCTTTCGGCGACAACGAGCCGAGCATGAAAGCCTTTCACGTTATGCGACGCAGTTGTTGTGAGATTGTCCCTACCTCCCTCCCTCAGTTGCTGCTTTGCTGGCAACAGATAGCTGCACATCCTGCTCGGCGTGCTTCTAACAGCAGCAGAAGCAGCAGCAGCAGCAGCAGCAGCAGCAGCAGCAGCAGCAGCAGCAGCAGCAGCAGCAGCAGCAGCGGCAGTAGCACTAGAAACAAGAACAGCAGTTAAATAACTATCCTGAAGTACCTGCAACACCTGTTGCCCGCATTTTCACAGGTTGTTGAGCTAGATTCAGGATTGACCAAGTTCCGGGCTTATGGTTTTTGTGGTTGGGTTTGTTTTTCCAATTCAAGTCACGAGACAGTAGTAGACGCACCAAAAATTGCGGTGTAAAAACAGTAGCAATGGCAATAGCGAAACACCCCAGGTGCAAGTAGCAAACGGGGCAACAGCAAACGGAGTAGAAGTAACGCAGCAGCGAACAAAAACTAAACGCAGTAGTAAAAGCGTAGTGGTAAACGCAGCGGAGATGGAAGCGATAAACACAGCAGTGAACGCAGTAGCAAAGGCTGCAGTAAACGCTAGAAATAGCAACAAATTAACGCGGTAGACATGGCAGCTCAGCAGCAAACGCTGTAGAAATGGCACTAGTACACGGAATGATACACGTCATGGCAAACGCCGTGTAAACGCAGCAGTAAACACAACAGGAAATGCGGTAACAAATGCAGTGGAGATGGCTGCAGTAGACATAGTAGAACATGCAGTAGAAAGGATAGTAAATGCAGGAGAGACAGCAGTAGGTAAACGCAGCAGAAAGTAAACGCCGTAAAACTCTGCAACGCTTCAGCCGAGTATCCTTTTCTTGTGAGCATTGAGGCTCAGGGGCCATGCCGGCACATGAAGGTGAGTGATAGTAGTGGTAGCAGAAGTAGTCGCCTCGGTGCAGCAGTATCGGCGTAGTAGCAATACTACAAGTAATCATCATAAAACCAGCCTGCAGTCACACCAAAAGCAGTAGTAGCAGCAGCAGCAGCAGCTAGTAGAGTAGCACCATGAGCAGTAGCGGTAATGGCCCTGGCCCTCTTCGAGAATAAATCCAGTTGACTTCGTTGCGTATGTAATGCATTTGATTTGATGTGAGCTCTCCAGGGCATCAGCGCTGCCATCGAGCAGTGTCTAAACAGTCGTTCAAGCATGACAACTGTCCGATCCTGTGTTGGCCTAGATTGCTTTATGTCAAAGCTCCTTCCAGTTGCACGCACCCAAGCATGCGTGCTCGGTACAAGCAATGTCTGAGGGGCCCTTGGCTGACCGCGCGCCTTTTCGGCGAGCTGCGCAGAGCGCTCCACGAGCAGGTTTGCTGCCTCAGTCATGCATTGCAGCCCGCAGATCTTGCTGACCAAAACTCGGCCAGTGCCTAAGTCTGAGGCAATTTGTCGGGCAGCACACCCCCTTGCAAAAGCCTCAAGCCACTTTGGATCACCGGAAGCACACTGAGCTCGTCGACTGATTTTGTCCACCACGCCGGGCCTGAAGCCGCACCACAGCAGCGCAAAGACGCAAGAACCGCCGCCTGGCGATCCGTTGGCCAAATTCAGACAGGGCAACGGGTAGTGAACAAGGTGCAACACCAAGTACAACATGTGAAAAATGTAGACAGATGTGAAAAGTCTGAAAGTAAGCACTGCAGAAGGATGACTTGTCAACTAGATCTTAGAAAGACGTAAGTAGACTCCTCCTGGCGATCTGCGCGGCTCGACATTGCAGGCCTGGCAAGGTGGCCTTTAAGCGCAGCACTCACCACCGCTGCAGCTAGGGCAGACCTCTGGCAGCCGGCTTGGCGCAGCTTTGTGACGCTTGTTGACGTCTCAGGGCCTTGGCTGCCTTGGGTCCTTTGAGCTGATTGGCTATTTTGTCTTGGGGCCTGAAATGCTTCTTTGAAGAGGCGTAGATGATTCGCGAAAGAACAGCATCATCAACTGACATCTAGAAAATTATGGTTATCCTCATCCCGGCATGCTGTTGCTTCAGCCACATCAGGATTTACTGGTTGTCTTTGACTTTATGGCTGGACCACTTTTCGTCCATCAGGCTGCACACGCTGAGAATGCAGCCTTCTGCTCTCAAGCCACACCAAAGCTGATTCTCGCATGAAAACCTGACAGTGGCAGCAATGGGCATTGGTGCTTCTCACTCCTGATCTCTGAAGCATGCAGCAAAGCTCCGGTCAGTTTTTGGGATCACAAGTGCTGGGCATTGCCAGCCTATTCTGCCTAAACATCGCCCCAGCCCACCAAAGTACCGTCGGCTTTCACAGCAACAAAGGCTGATAACGCAGGCTGCACTACTTGCACATCCACCAGTTGTGAAAACAAGTGCTTACAATCTCCGCCACGCAGGGAATCACCCCAGCAGACCACGGTACCATTGAATTTGAGAGCAGCGAAAGCATGGGAGGACGCAACCAAGGTTCGTACATCTGCAAGATCTTTGCCTTCGCTGTCACCACCATACTCGGGAGCACCCCAAGTGACCACCGTACCGTCACTTTGGACTGCTGCAAAGGCCCCTGACGTGCTGCAAATCTGTTGCGTCTGGCCAAGTTCATGTGCAACCTGGCTGTTGTCACCACCGCTGTAGGGATCTCCCCAAGTCACTACGGAGCCATCCCGAAGCAATGCAGCGAAGGCTGCACTTGCGGAATACACGCGCTCCACACCCAACACATCGAATGTCAAATCCCCTCCATAGTCCGGCTCCCCCCATGTCACCACAGTGCCATCTGTTTTCAAAGCAGCCATGGCTCCCTCCGTTGCCTGTATCTCCTTCACTGATTGTAATTGCTCAGCCACCGCACTGCTATCGCCGCCACATCTTGCATCTCCCCACGTCACAACCGTTCCGGTCTTCGTAACGGCAGCAAAAACACAATGTGATGCAAAGACCATACGAACATCGACGAGGCGTGCTTCAACAACTGCGCTATCGCCACCACAACCGGGATTGCCCCAGGCTACAACTCTGCCATCTTTGCGCAGCGCGGCAAAGGCGCAGCGAGTGGCTGCAATGAACTGCACATCAAACAGCTCCTTCTGAACGTCTTCAGAGTCGCCGCCAAACTCTGCGTAGCCCCATGTGACAACACTGCCATCAGTTCTGATAGCAGCAAAGCTGCCAGAGGAGCAAAATATATCCTCGACATTGACCAGCATGTGTTGGACATTGCTGCTGTCTCCGCCAAAGCTGCTGTGGCCCCAAGTCACAACTCGCCCGTCTTTGGTCAATGCAGCACATGAGAAGGCACTTGCAAACACCCTCTCCACGTCAACAAGCAAGTGCTTGACGCTGCTGCTATCGCCGCCGTGTGGCGCGTAGCCCCAGGTATCCACACCTGCCCAGTCACACACAAACACTGGTTCAGTGGTAAAGTCGCAGACCTTGCAGCCGCCTCAACCACCCGTCAACATCTTCAACTGAGAATTTAAGTTTGATTCTTTTCTGCATGACCTGCACATGCCTCCAGACGGAGTCACCGCCGCAAATGCCGCACCCAAATGATGTGCCACAACATGAGGAGACTGCCCGGCCACTGCGTGAACCACATCCCTGTCACTCAGCACAGCATTGAGGCGGCTATGTGCGTACCTTGGATCCAAAGTTCCGAAAGGTGCCATCAAACAACTCGCATTCGAATGGATGCATGTAAGGCATGCAGCATGTATGCAGGCAATTACAATTGTGCATGCAAAGTACATAAAAGACGCTTGGTTTCCTCTTTGGACCAAACCTATGTGACCGTGCCACTTCGTGCGAGTGGGCAAGCTTTGTTGCTTGAAACAAAAGTTGCGACAGTGAAAGCGGAAGTGTGAATCGTGTAATATCAGTGCCGAAGAAGGCCAAGCAGTCCGGGTTTGCCCTCTAGCAACGTTCTGATGCACAGGTCCTGCGACACCTTGTTCTTGTTGACTGTAAGAAACTTCGTGAAACCTGTCAAGGTTGGCTTGTGGCATCAATGCCCTGGGCTTCGTGCATGGACAAAACATTTGTCCAAGCTATGTTAAGCGGAGCCACAAGGAAGTACCAGATGGGCTCAGCAAAGCAGTCAGGTACACAGAGAGGGTGGTTTCCGCTAGTCTCCACAGGTCGCGCACCAAGCAGTCTTCTGATATTGTGACCGGGTAGACTTGGCCACTTAGCAAACACACAGAAAGGTTAAGCGACATGGCTCAGCTAAGCGTCAGCAAACTGAGTCTACTGCCTATCTCCATGGAACACAATGTTGTATTGCATCGCGGAGAAACCGGCCCAAGCTTAGCATGAGCTAAAACGGCTGCTCGCACTGGCTTCAAGGGAAGGTTGAATATGTCTGATGTGTGCTACAGTAGGTGGTAAAATAGAAACATGCACTGTGTATAAACACGATGCTCACCTTTGCTGGCCTCGAGCTCAGCTTCAATGCTTGAGCACCAATGAATTGTCTTGTGGCCTTGTTTCTGTCATGTGAGGCATGTCGAAAAGGCCAGATTGATGTACAGGAGCTCCTCATACATGCTTTCTCAAGGCGGATCCTCAGTCAGGAAAAAGCCCGAAAGTCAAAGAAAGTTCAACTGCAAATTTTAATCTACTCGAGATCCTGCGCTCTAGTCTCAAATCGGACCATGCTACCCAAACAGTTCGTTCTAACAGCAGAAGTAGTTTTCCCTGCTGGGAATTTCTGCTGTGCGGTCCTGAGGCCGCAGGTGTTTGCTTGGGAGTCCACGACTAGAGTACGGCAACCACAAAGGCCATTCGATTGCTCATTTCTAGCCACGTTGCTTGTCAATTGAATGGTTCTGGAAAATGTAGGTGAAGCTTGTCGCATTGCTATGTGAAAGGCGTTTTGCGGCACGCTCGGGCGGTTCATTGAATTTACGGAAGTATTTGCCTTGGCCCAAAAGCCGTTCAGAGGTGCGCACCAGGCGCGCACCAGGCGCGCCGGGTAGCCGAGTCCGAACTGGGTGGGCAAGGGCACGCTGCATGCGCAGCTCGTTCCGGGCATGCTGCGACAAGGGTTCGCTGGGCACAGGCAAGCGCCGGGTTACGGGTATGCACCTGGCCCGAGCCGGGTTCACCAGGCACGAGGAATTGTCAAAAATGCTTGGAGACAAGGGGCATGGTGACCTGGTAGCGGGGCCACGGAGGGCCTTGCAATATGCTCATTGCATATTGCAGCCACCGTGCGAATCACCCAGGCGAGCGGAGCTGAAAGACAAGAGACATTCGGAAGGGGAACAAATTAGCCTGCCATGCAAGGAAGGGGACTTGGCTGTAGCAAGGCTTGCGCACAAGACCTACCCTTCACACCGAGCCGGGAAGTTGCAACGCGTGTCTCGCAGGCGCGCTTCGCCGGCTGTAACCCTACCACTGCATTGCCACGCAATCCTGGACTATCCTGACTGGACTGAGGCGGGCAGCGCAAAGTGCTACGATAAACAGTACTCAAGCTTGCCACTGTGGTTTGCATGCAGATGTTTTCTGCGTTGCCTTAGAATGTCCAACTTGTACATCTTCCGGACAAACACCATGCTGAACTGCGACCTGGGCATCCGCACATCAGCACAATGCAAATTGTCTGGCATGCCAAGAGAAAAAAAGGAAAATTGTCTGACTGCATCTGGAAAATCATGGAAAACCTTCTTCCCAGAATATAATTGGCAATTGTCTCAAAGAATGTCTGAGGAATGCGGAAACTGCTGTTGCAAAGCTGCACTGCAGCCTCAAACGACTAATAAACGGGCCTCGCTGATCGCAGTACACCATGCCAAAGCATCTTTGGCCTTAGCAGACAGGCAGAAGCCATTCACCCCATGCGAGAAGACAACACAAATGATGGTGACCCCACAGTGGCATTGGGGTCAAGACCCTGCCAAATGCTGATGCCAATTTGTTGGCCCCGTTGCAAACAAGCGACTAGGGCAAAACAAACAAAAAATGCCACACTGCGTTGAGGGTATTACATCAGCACGGCGTACACCTTGACGAACCTGGGCCAAAAGAGACTCAAGCCCAATCACTCTGAAGATGAAAGTCATCTGTCACCCAATATACTGGCCAAGCTGAGTACGTCTCACAAACGGCTAGCCAAATGACTGCAGCAAGCGTGCCTGTGTTGGCAAGAGCATGATATACCTGCCGATCTGCTCAAGCATACTCGGTGAACAAGGTAGCTCAACTGACTATCCGATTGAACAGGTAGCTTTACTCGGTACGTGTACTCGGAGCACTGGGTGTGCACTCCGTGCGTACTTGCACTGGGTCATACTCGGTGCGTGCTTGGTGTGTGTGTGCTTGGTGCACAGTCGCTGATCGCGGCCACAATGGCGTTTCGGGCATGCGTACTTCCAGGCATAGCAGCACAGCGCGATCGCTTGGCGATCACAAGCTGAGCAATTCCATGAATAGCCGCTTCAAGACGTGCATGAAATGCGGATCCGGACAAGTTGTGTTACTTGTGCAGAGGAGAGCGGAGCAAGCAGTTCCAGAACGCTGAGAACTCACTGAAGAATCATCAAATAGTTGAAAGAAATGTCAAAAAAGCAACTGCAATTACTTCGAGAAGTGATGCGTCTAAGACGGTCTGTGTGGCCAACATAAACAAAAAAAACAGAAACTGATCAAGTTGCGGGGAGACCCACCAAATGTCTGATTGTGAATTGCTAAATTTTGAGACGCACGCACACATATATATATATATATATTATATATATATATATGTATACATACATACATGGTAACCTCCCGCCCAAAAATAAGGCATTCCCCAAGAGAAACTGACAGTACTTACAGTACTTTTTGGTGATTTCCACCCCCCCCTTTTCAGGCACCCCAATGTTGACCCTAATTTTCAGCATCTAACTATGCCTGCATCTGCACATGTGACTGCACCTCTGTCCACCTAGCATGCTTTAAAGCGCTTTAATGCACTTTTGGATTCAAGATTCAAGATTCCCACGACTCTAGATCTGGAATCTTGAATCCAGCCTGAGGCCCCGAACATGAATTAAAGCGCTTTCAAGCGCTTCATTCTCGTGGATTCAAGATTGGGGCCCCTATCCCAGGACTTGTTCTCGAATCTTGAACCCATGAGCTACCTGGATGAAAGCGCTTTTTAGCAGTTTGGGGGCCCCATACTGGGCTCAAGATTCAAGAACCAGAGTCCTGGGAATCTTGAATGTTAGATCCGAAAGCGCTTTACAGCGCCGAAAAGCGTCTGCTTTCACTCATCTTATTACTTTGCAATTGGGCGCGGTCAATGTAGTTGATAGATCAGCATATGAACAGTGGATAACTGAATTCTTAGAAAATGATTTTAAACAAACCCACGCCAACCCTTGGGTATTAAAAAAAACAAAAATGAATACCAGTAAAAGCCAGTATGTTGCATGCGCCTTTGTAGGTTTTGTGCAGCACAGATTTTGTTTAGGGAAGCTAGTTGCTTCAACAGACAGCGTGGCATTGGCCAAGGTATATAAGATGTGAGCATATTTTTGTTGTTGGTATTACAAACCTGTGCCAATACCTGCTACTCATCTTCCACCTCTCATCTCAACTCATCTGAAAATTCCCTGCGTCTGTCAGCCAACAAACCTTGGCCTTGCACATCATTTGAAATGAGAAATCGAAGATGCGTAGGCGAAGAAGAAGAGGTATTGTTTGATTTATTGTTGAAACCCTTTCGCCGGTACTCTCAAGGACATGATATACAGTCAAGTGAACGAGGATAACATTGGTGATGAAGACGACTTCTGTGACAGCAAATGTGTTATTATTGACGTAAATGTTCAAAAACTTCAGAGATGTATGTATGAAATATGTTGGCTTATTTTGACGCTTTAACTAATTTCGATTTTACACTTTACCTACCTTTGTTTCTGATGCTATGTTCAAATTGCAATAAACTTAGTTTATGACGACATGTATGAAATGCTTGAACAAGAATCTAAAGGAGACAAGCCACAAATGTGTGTCAGAAAGTAGAAGCAAATGCTACTCAAATGGGCTGCAAAGGCTTAATGAATCATCTGCGCAAGTCTGCCAACGTTGTAAAATGAGCCCACACCCATCTAAAATGGCCTGACTTCCCTTGCATAACCAGCAGGCGCAGTGTTGCTTTTTCTTTCTTGTTCTTCCTTCTTCTTCTTCTTTTCTTTTTTTTGGGGGGGGCACACTGCACACATACAAATATATATATATACACAAATGCAGGGAGCTAAATGATCCCGAAGGCAAAGAGAACCGCAGGCAAATACCAAACGCCAGCCAACAAGCCCTCCTCCAACAAAAGGTCACCAAGAATAGCATTGAATGCTCCACAAGCTTGGAGTCTCACCCTTTTTTTCCGATCAACAAGGGGTAATTCTTTGTGTCTGCATGCATTTCCCTCGTGGAGCAATTCATCATTTCACCGACGGCACTCCAAACGTGACTATTTACTGTATTGACTGGCTGCCTTGAACAATGCAGACAATTGAGCCAAGTGAAGTTCACAAGTCAGACGAACAATGGTTGAGCCAAGTGGTTGAACAATGCAAAAGACAGCTCGCGCCTCAACGTGAAGTTCACAAGTGAACGGCGATGGGCGAAGCCTTGTCTTCGAATGCGAGTGGCCTGTCATGTCGCTTGACTCTCCTAGCTGTCTGAGTCCGACCAGTTGCCAGGCATTGCTGAGAATCGAGACGAGTAAAAATGATGATTCGCAAAATCAACATCCGGGGCCTCCCCACACAGGGACAAAATGGCTGCTTGATTGCTTGGGCCTTATCACCTCGAATTGATTTTGACTGGACAAAGTTGTCATCACATGACTGCACAGCCTCCAGCAGGCCACTGTAGCGACACTGCCGGAGCATGGAGGGGTCGTCGAAGACCAGAGGCTTCTGGGCGCAATGCAAACATACGTCCAGCCATAGAAAACTGGAGGTCATTGCAAGCGCCAGCTCCTGCTCATCGTTTGGTCGTAGGCATCGCACATGGCGACCTCTCACGAAGCAACGCTTCAAGCTCAAGCCTGTCACCTACAGCAAACCAGCAAGCATCAAGAGCATTGTCAAGAGCATCAAGAGCATTCAGAATTCAGCAAGAGCATTCAGGCCGAAGCAATCCCTGGCTTCCAAAGTGGCACAAAGCTCGTTGAGCTCCTGAATGTCAGCGTCCCAAAATCCAGAGCTGTGTCTACGGGAGTGTCTATGGTGTTCATTCATCTCGTAGAATGGGGGGGATGCCATGTTGCCTCAGTGGGGTTCAGGCGCATGCCCATGGGGGAATAGCTGGCTCACTCAGTACACGTTCAACATCATGAGTACCCACACTAGTTATTCAGGCCGGGGGCCTGCTGGAAGATGTTGATGAGGGTTCGTCCAAACAGCTTCCGCCCTCGCCTGCCAAGCAGCTGGAAGCTGGTGTTGGAAAGGCTCATGTGGAATCATTTAATTTGTTGGTACCCAACGGTGATGCATTTGCGTCAACCATTTCCTTTTCGGGTAGATTTTTTGGACCCAACATCGCCTGCTGTCGTGCTCCATTGAGAAATAGTTAGCAGCAAAACTATTTGGCGCTACAGAACGGGGTTTACCTTGCCTGCAACATACTCCGGCCAAGCAACACTGCTCGAACTAACTGCAACTAGCAGACTATATATAGCATGACTCCATACTTACAGGCCCCATTGTCGATGACGGAAAGCAGAGTTTGAGGGTTCTGAGATAAGCCAACTTCAGGGCAAGTGTTCTCGCGACCCTTGGCGATATCTGCTAACGTTCTGGTCACAAGGAACCCTCAACTGGCATCCAAATGTCCACAGGCAGGCCATCTAATATCAAGGCCTCACCACTGACAACCTTCAGTAACATTCTGAGCGGCAGCATGCATGCCCACCATCGCACCAAACCAACAGTGGCGAGCGGGGCCTTGGAGGTTCCACGTCCTTGTCCTCCGCATTCCCATTGCTGGTCATCTGGCAGCAAGCATTAGGTGCTGCATTCAAAGGAAAAAAGATGGGAGGAGACCAAATCTGACAAGCCAGAATTGCATAGAGTCCAGCCTCGCGAATGAAGCTGCCGCCGTGCTCCCTGTCCAAGTTCTAGAACACTGTGTACGTTCCGTGTCATTTTGCGGGTTCCTTGCTGGTGCTACTTGCAAGAGAAACAAGGGAACCCAAACATTTTTTGGTGAACTCCGCAACATGCACCAACAGCAGCCCTGCCTGAGGAAAGTGCAAATGTCTGGGCGATGTGCACTGGCGTTCTTCCGAACAAAGTCAGCGGCCTGGGAAGAAACACCAAGCTACATGCAACCATGTTACTTGCCGATCGGCCTCATAGAAGACCTGCCCTGCAAAGTGCTTGATGCCGAAAAGGCGACTGGCGGGAGATATCTTCCAGAGCAACAGCCAACTGTCGACCATGGTCATGATCCCTTCGCAAGGGATTGTTGATGTCGTGGATAACAGACTTGAAGCCACAAGCAGCCAGGTTTGTTGGCCACAACTCCTGTTGCAAAACATGGGTCTGGCTACGTGCATAGAAACAGCACCTGGTATCTCGACCGCTTGCTCGACCTGAGCCCCGACTCCGTCCAAATCAGCGTCACAAAAACGTGCGAGAAAAATGCTGCCCGCTCTCACCACAACGTTTGCTCAGAGCAAGACAAAACGCCACATGACCGCCACAGGAGGCAGCAAGGGTCTCTGCCAGTGCCGAGGACGAGCCTGGCAGCCGGCATCTTGCCACAACCAGTGCGTGCTTGCTCAGT